CTTCACTAAAACGAGCATAACTTTTTACTCGGAGGTCGGAATTAAGAAAACTCGGTGGCGTTGGAAAGATAATTCAATTATCTATCATACCATATGTCATGGGACACACAATTCCTTTTGTGCTAAAAGTTATGACCATCTGAAGTTGACCCATCAATAATTTTCAGCTAACTGGCTGCTAACCCTCATCTACGGTCAGACCTATGGACCGTGGATCGAATGACAGTCCGTGATGGTCGACCGTAGTTTGTGTCAGAGGCTGGGTAAGGGAAGTCTCGATCCATGGACACAGACCACGGACCGTGGGTCTGTCCGTGAGTCGGGACTTAGCCGATATTTCTGAGCTTGGCTGGGGAGGGGTTGCAGTGGTGAACCACGGACCACCAGCACGGGCCGTGGTCTGACCTACGGTCCGTGGATGGCAACCGTGGGTTGCACCTGCAACTTCTCAAAATCTGCATTTTTGGTTTGTTTCGAATACGGGGTGTTACAATGATACTTGTGTATCAATTTAATTTTAGACTTCTCATTTTTGTAAGGATATGAATAAGACCAAACACCAATACATGCAACTCTTAAATATATACTTTTTAATGAACGGTATAATACATATACATGACCCTTAATTTGGCTTCAGCGGACAACGCCCTCCAACTTTGATTGTACACACGTAGATACTTAAACTTGTATAGAATTGAACAAGTAGACACACGTATCCTACCTGACATAATATACGTAGGGCGCTACATAAGACACAAAATTTCCATGTAGGGTGTCATGTAGGACGAATGTGTCTATTTGTTCAATTTTATACAAATTTAAGTGTCTACTTGTGCACATGCACCTAAAATTAAAGATCATAGTTGTCAAGTGACGTTAAATTAAGGGTCATGTTTATGTATTATACTGCCTTAATGAACTATGCATGAACAAAATTTAATTATTCAACATCCCTAATAAATTTGATTCATCTCTACAAGAGTCATCTTTCTTGGATATGCAACCTCTAATATAATGAACTTAGTATATATCCATATACTTGCTCCTTTCATGAAATACCGGGTTCTTGTGGTTTATAAAATTCTTCAAACAAACTCCTTTTCCCATGTTTCAGCTCCTATATATATACTTCGATTCACAATTTCCCAAAGTCATAATTGGTTGCTTCTAATTTTTTTATGTAAATGCGAAATTTGCAAGAACGAAAACAAAAGGAGCCCCTCAATAATCCTTGAAGATATATGAAACTTGTTGATAAATCGAATTATCTCATTGTAACTAGACATGACATTTCTTTTCCTGAGTGTTGTGTGTTAGTTTATCTATTCTACTTATGATAGTCATTGAGATGTTGTTGTCCGCATTCTATGATATATTAAGTCATTGAGCAAATGGCTACTTTTCGAGGATTGAAGCTATAAGTAGATCTTTGGATATATCGATGTTGATTGGCATAATCATTTCTGACAGATGTTCTACATCTGAATTTTGTGTTTTATTAAAAGATAATTTGTGAGATATTTTGGATCAAATAGTTGGTAGAAAATTTAAAATTTGGACATATCAATTAGATGAAACTTGTGTTTAATAATCAAGAGGCCCTTTATATTGCCTCAGATCCATTATTTTCATGACAGGAAAAACACATTAAGATCAATTGCTACTTTATTAAAGGAAATATACTCTTAGGAGATATTATTACAAAATTTATAAAATTCAATAATTAATTTGCAAATATTTTCACCAAGTCCCTCATCAATTCTATTTTTTTTAGTTATATTTATAACAAACAAGGTATAGATGACTTATATGTACCAACTTGAAGGGAAATGTTAGAATATTAATGCATATAGGGGTTGTTTGGTACAATGATTAATAATACAGGGATTAGTAATGCTGAGATTAATAATGCAGAGATTAATAGTGCAGGGATTAGTAATGCATAGTTTATTTTTACCAAGTGTTTGGTTCATTGTTTCCCACCTCATCTTGTGTTTGGATTAAAACGTTATAGAAAACTTCTTTCCAATTATACCCTTGAATTATTATGTAATTGGGTTAAGGTAAATAATTGTCGGACAATATTGTTTTTTATAGCCTTCTAACTAGCTATGAGAAGAACAATTTTGTTGTCATGTTTGCCTTTTTTTCCACTTAAATTATTTGAGGATAAATAATTGTCATCTTAGTAAATTGATCACTTACAAAATGTCAAATTTCAATTTTCAAAAAAAAAAGAAGATAAACTATCAACTTTTAAAATTGAAAAGACAGTAAACAATAGTACAATTGAATAAACCATCTACATTAACACATAAATATTGCAAGTTGTAATTTTAGTATGTATGCAATTTTATAAATTGTTCAAAATTCAAATAATTAGAAAACCA